GTAAAATTCGGTCCAGTAATAAGCGAGATAGCCTCCAGGTGTAGCCCCCCCCCCCCCTTAAGCTGTAATGGCTTCATTTTGAAGTTTTGACGGGATTTATTTTAAGTAGTTTTCAATTTAGTTGTCATGTTGAACGAGGTAGGTTTGATTTTACAAGTCGTGACGGATAGTGTTTGAAAACATGTTCTACTAATGCCTGAAATATTTTATAGGCCCTCTATTTCAGAGAAGAAATTCACATGTGAGCATTGCAGGTCATATTAGCATTGCAGGTCATATTTTTAAAGTAAGTCAGCTTAGCAGTCACCTTGGTGATATGTCACTGATCCCGATTTTTTAAACCAAATCCCAATTTTTCCCCCTGAGATTCTGATATTTAGATTTCTTAGAGTGGCAGGTCTGTATTCTGCGTACTGCTTCTGTTAGATGCATTTCGTAAAACTCATCACAGATTCACTTTCGGGAAGATTTTTTCTGTACAGAAAAGTTTTTTCCTTTTAGATATAGTTAGTAGTATTTGCAAACCAGATCTAAGTAATACAAATAAGTACAGGAAACTGACCATTAAATCTAGCGCTACTCTGTGTCCCTGGTATTCCCAAACTGCTCGGTGAAGCACGAACTGACCCTATGTCATGAGGAGGTTAAGGATTTTGTTAGCCGGTCAGGACAAGTTGTAATGTTGATATCTCTGCTCTATAGTCTTTGGCTATAAAAGCTGTTGAATCTTTTGTTGGAAGTCCACCTTTTGGGTCTCTTGATTTTCGAGGGAGGCTACTTTTCAATTTGAATAATCCTCTTTTTAATTTTAGTCCCTGCTCCATGCCTTACAACAAGAGGGAAGATTTTTCTCATCTTCCCTGTCAGCCCTGAGTTGTGTAAAATACCCAAGTATTTCATCTTTGATGAATATTCTGACCGTTGCAGGTCATGTTACTTCTGTGCAAAGAAAAACTAATTTTATGTAGATCTAATCTTGTGAATTGTTTTGGATTTGTGAACTCTGGTGAATATTATGGGGAAATACAGTCTAGCAGGCACACTGCGAATAGATTTTCAAGTCCCGAATTTTTTCTCGTACTTTATTCTAATTCTTTGTACTTTACACTTTGCAGTCGCACAGCCAGCTGTACAATAATGCGGCGGTGAAAATTATGTGTTCCGGTCACCTGACGCAGGCCCGAGAAGCTCATTCCAATCACTCTCCTGGCTGGGTGACCTGATGGGGTATTTTGTGCAGCTGGCTGTATGACTTCAAAGTGTTAAAATACATACATAGAGGGAAATTTGCACACACCGTAACAGAAAAGATTTCCGCGTTTCACAGATTTCGCTATTTGTTGTAAGTGACAGTTTGGGTCGTGGGTTTCCAAGTGCAATCCTAGTAGTCCTCTTTTTGCCATTGATTTGATGTGGCTTGTAATCTACCTGTAAGAAAGGCTTGTGTTCTGTTTGTTGCAGACTGCATTACGCGTGTACAAGTGCTGTCTGGACCATATTCTTGCCAATCCCCACTGGAATATAAGGTGTGTGTGTGTGTGCATGGTCTGTGGTAAATTTTTACATTTATAACTGCTTAAAGTTTTTTAGACTACATCTAAGTTATCTTATCATTTTTTCACGAATTATAAAATCTAATTTTTATCTGAATATTGCTGATTAGTTGGTTTGTTTATGGATTGTATTATATTATGTTGAGTATATCTACAGCTGTATACAATGTTGAGTATATGGACAGCTGTATACAATTTTAAGTGTTTGTAGAACTGTATACCATGTTGCCTGTCATCTACAGCAGTGTACAATATGGATGTCATGTAGAGCTGTATAGTGTTGAGTGTATGCACATCTGTTTACCTTGTTTGATGTATGCGTGCTTATTGGTGGGCGGTTAACAGGTGCTCAAGTGTGGTTTGCTCCTTCTTTCCAATCGAACATCTATCGTCCTGATCTCTCCTCCTTCTGTTTTGTGTTTGTTACTCTCTTGTAACACCTCTAATCTTTGGCACTTCTATGACCTTATTGTGTTGCAAGTGCAGTAAAACTCTTACTAAAACTAAGCATACTTTTTGACTGTAAGGGCAGCTATTCTATATTTCTGTTCTGTGTTTGTTTCTCCCAGGGCTCTGAGGGAAGATGGTAGCGTCGCTACGACTGCCAATGAGGTGATAAAGCTGGAATCTGATGTGGCTACCATGGGGTTCTGGTGTCGACTCAGAAGGTCCTTTTCTACAGTATTGTATGGTGTATTCCTCTTTTGCACACGTAAGAAAGATTTTTTTTTTCCCCTGAATTCATGTTGTCAGCCTTACTCCTGCCCCATTCTCCTCCCACCATCACCATCACCACCACCACCACTCCCCCTTTTCCAATTGGGGTGTTCTTGATCTTGGGCTGTTCAAGGGTTTTTCCCTTGTCCCATCTGGCTCTGTCCATTAGAGATTGACATTAAGTTTGGAAGTCCCTCCGACCTCTTAAACAACAGTATAAGTTTAAAACAGGCATTAGGCATGATTTAGACATTCTCAGTGGGTGGTTGGCAGGTGCTCTGGAGTGGTTTTATACTTCTTTCTTATCAAACATCCCTCGTCCTTATCTCTCCTCCTTTTTTGTTTGTTACCCTCTCGTAACACCTCTAATCTTCAGCACTTTTATGACCTTACTTATTGTGTTGCATGCGCGGTAAAACTCTTACTCTTTGGCAGGTGCTCTGGTGTGGTTTGCTCCTTTCTTATCCAACATTTATCCTCCAAATGTCCCCTTTACTTTACTTATTACTCTCAGTAACACCTCTAACCTTCAGCACTTATATGGCCTATTTAGCCTATTTGTGTTGCAAGAAACATGATGTATGATGCTATTCAGATCTTTAGAAGTTGTTTTATTATTTTGTTCTCTTTATTTCCTTTCTTTTCATGTCAGTGATCTGTTGGTGGTTGGCGGGTGCTCTGATGTGGTTTGCTCCTTCTTTCCTATCAAACATCTTTTGTCCTGATTTCTCCTTCTTTTTTTTTGTTTGTTACCCTCTTGTAACACCTCTAATCTCCGGCACTTATATGACCTTATTGTGTTGCAAGTTAGACCTGCATGTTTGCCGACAATCGTCTGAAATCCGACAATCGCGACGCGACCCGCGAGGCGGCCGATGCTATCGCTAGGCCCACCTGTATCAGGCGAAGTGCGAGGCCTGGCCGACTGCCAGCGTCCCCCTTTTCTCCCGTCGGCTTTGTCGGCACTTTCGTTTTCGTGCCGACGTCGGCGTTTCCGACATAATTGTCGGAACCTGAGTAGAAATGCGAATACGAAAAAGGACGACGACCTAAATTTATCTACTTTCAGTTTGGTGCTCGAGCGGCCATTTTGAGTTTCGTTTTGTTGACAAATTCAATTGTTCAGATCGTGTGGATTCATTCCAGTCCGACTCACTTAGATAATAGAATCTAGATCTAGATTTATATACTCTAGATCATTATAGACCTCAATGGAGGATTCATATTCCAATTCTATTTTGTCAAACCCTATCATAGGCTGTGCTGTAATATTAATGTTGGTAAAAGGCATTTGCATCAGGTGCGTGAATTATTTATTTATTTAGAATCAAGATCTAGATCTAGATCTAGACCAAGTCTAGACTCAGCTGAGCCCCTCTGTTCGGAATCGGATACGGATTTCTAATTCAAGGCCTATTCCTAGATCCTATTCACTTGTTCTAAAAGATCTAGATCTAGATTTATTTAGATTACTAGATCTATATGGAGGATTCATATTCCAATTCTAGAATCTATTGTGTTATTGTATCAAACCCTATTATTATTTATAGATCTAGCAATATGTAGATGTAGGCCATTATGCTCCTTGTAAGCCTTGTTTGATTTGGAGTGTGGTTTTTTAATTTTAAAAATGTTTTTCAATTTGGACTTTTGCTGGCCTTTTCACATGAGGCTCGTTGCAGGTTCTTTTTTGGGGTAGGCCTAGGGGTAGGGTTGGGGCTCTTCTTTGTTGTGTTTGTTGGGGTGGTCGCTCGTTACTCGGAAGTCCTTTGTATGACACCCACGAAAGCTCTTTGGGGTGGGGGGGGGGGGGGGGGTTGCGCAAAATTTTCAGACAATCTGGTTGAGGCTCACATGCAGGTCTAGCAAGTGCTGTGGAACTCATACTAAAACTAAATGTCAGTGATCTGTTGTATGATGATATTCAGATTAGAAGTTGTGTTATTATTTTGTTCTCTTTATTTTATTTCATGTCAGTGATCGGCTGTATGATGCTGGTCTCCATGTACATCAAGTACAGGCTCAGACGTAAGGAGCAGGAACAGAGGGAGGTCTTTGCTATGGTAGAGAAAATCATTGGTAAGTCGGACAGTGTGCAAACAACAGTGTGATTGTAAATAGGTGGGGGTTTTTTTTTAATGAACTTATCAACTCTATTTTGACAAATTTAGGAGATAAACTTGTTTGACCCTTTGTATGGGTGGTTGGCGGATACTCTGGTGTGGTTTGCTCTTACTTTCCTTCTATCAAACTTCTATCCTCCTAATTCCTCCTCCTTTTTTGTGTTTGTCTGTCTCTTGTAACACCTCGTCTTCGACCTTTATATGGCTGTATTGTGTTGCAAGTGTACACACACTCTTAAGTCACTATTTTCATGTGCATAGCTGCCAACCAGTATGTTAACATATTTAGCATGTTTTTGAGGGTCTGAATATGTCATCATTCTTTTCATAATAAAACCTTGTCTGAAGAATATGTTGTCATGTCAATCTACATTTTTAGTCTAATGTTCTGAATTCCATTGGTCTTCCATTTTCAGACATTCTTCAAGATCACCATGAACAGACCAAGGGAGAAGACTCCGATGAGCCTCTGTACCTAGCTGTTCAGCATGTCAGAGATCAGTTGCTTCCCCCTGCTCAGAGGTATGACAACATGGGAAAGGACATCAATAAGCTGTTTAAATGTACCTTAAAGTACACAATGGCCAAGCTTGTATAATGTATGATACCTCAAAGTACTCAATGACCAAGCATGGATGTGTATAATACCTCAAAGTAATCAAAATAATTATAGATAGCATTTGTATAGCCCCAATTCCCGCTCAACAGCAAACTCTATGCACTTTTAACCTATTCTTTATTATTACCCCAGCAGACCTGATAAAATTCCGAAACAATCTCAACTTCCTGGGAAGCATACAGTGCAAGCTGCCATTTTACAGGCGCTAAAATAACAAAGTGACAAGATCTAAAACACATTAACCTGTCTTGTGACCGTAATACAGTTTCTAGCAAATTTCTGACTTATATAGTCTTTGTGTTCCAGGAGAAAGCTTCAACCAATCTGGGAGAAGGCCTTCGAGTTCATTGCTGCGAACGAGTCCCGTATTCGTCTGGAGACTCGATTGATTCACGGGGATGAATTTGAAGTTTGGCAGTGGTTACCGGTAAGAGGATGTAGTGTCTCATCCTAGAATACAAGGATGTGGTACATTTTGTCAATTGCTAATTGTAGAAGGGTCTTATTTTACCTTTCAGTTTTGGCTAGAATTCTTTAGTTTTATCAGCCTCTGGTGAAAATGTCTATTCTGTGATTTGTTGATCTGATAGAGTGTCATTTTATTTTATACTTGTTAATGTTTGCGCGCGTGTGGCAGGGGTGTTTTTATTTTTTATTTTCGATTTAAGCGTGGATTTTTTCCTCCTTTTTCAAATTGAGAAAATGGTGAGTAGTGAGGTACATTTACATTAGGTTGTTGACTGCCAAGTTGGATACACCTTCTTTTTCTCTTCTTTGACAGCCTACATCTCATAATGGCAAGATCTGGCAAGGCCAAGGTGTGTACACGTAGATTCCTACGTCAAGGGGACTCTGCTTTTCTAGAGAAAAAAAAAAAATTCCAGATATCTGGAACAATTGAATGATTATAATATCAATTCCATTGATATTTTAAATGGAGATTTACTCTTATGTGTGTGTGTGTGTTTGAATTACTGAGTTGTATCCTTTTTGTTTTGAGCCATTTTGTTTTTGAGATTGTTTGGCTTTTCGGTCTTGACACCCTCATATTTGAATTTTGAAATCTTGTGTGTTGTAAGTAAAAATGATTCTTAAATCTGTCATAATGATAAAATTGATTATAGTGGCCTGCATGCCTTCCTTTGTCCTTTAAATGTAAGACAATGTAAATTTATGAGTTTTTGCCAAGGTGGAGAAGCAAAAATTTCGGAATGCTGTTTGGGTGTGGTGAGATGATACAGAATGTGTGAAAGAAATGTACTGTGCCTTTGTTGTGTTGTGCATAAGTGAATCCTTGATTCCTTATGAGCAGTTCATTTTAGTTTTCCTTAAGTCATCCTGTATCCGATCCTTAGAATCCCTCTTAAATGTCGAAAGCTGAACATGAAAAGCTTCTAAGATTTGTGACTCGAATTTAGATATAATATGTTTTGATATTTTGCCCTATTTTACCCTTGTGAAATTTGTAAATGCTGCTGTTAGGTGTAAATTTATTTGGCCGTACTTTGTGGCAACTAGGATTTTGATGAGTGGAATTCTTAAAGTTAGATATGATAAAAATGCAAAAAATTCAGCCACAAAGTCAAATACCAAAAGATATGGGACTAAACAGACTCTCAACATTGGTATCAATCTGAATTCCAGTTCCATTTAACCACAAAGTTAACATCACACCCGACATTTTTCCACCATAACAGTGTAAGAACCCAGAACACTGCATTATTGATTGTTTCCTATACCCCTGCTGTCCTCAGCTGTCATAGTTTTTTTTATACTTTTGTTTCTTTCACAGCCTTTGGAGAGATGAATGACAGCAACTCAAATCAAAGAATGTACAGTCCCACTCCATGCCTTAAGATACGCAATATGTTTGATAGTAATGTGTAAGTATCATCAATTAATGAGAAGTTTAATAAAGTTTTGGGCTCTTAGTACAAAATGACTATTCTCTGATGTCTTGCTCTATATCGTAAGCGTACTGATGGTTTAGTGTTTACAATGTCTTTGATATCGTCTGTGATACAGAACAGGCTATTGAAATTTCAGAATTTGAATGCCTGTGTTGTCAAAAAATATAAAGATAAGTTACCAATAAGCCTCCAAAAAAAAATTACTGAAAGCAGGCAAAGTTAGAAATAGTGTCATTGGTTTGGGTTTTTTGTTGTTTTTTTCTCATAATTAAAGGCCTTAGTGGTGTGTCTTAAGTTTTATCGGTGTCATGCTTTATTTCTTCTAAATCTCTTCCAACTTGTTGATCAGTGCGTACATTATATTCATCATTCTCTCAGCCCTCTCAAAACACCAAATTCCTGCTGCAATAAACCATTTTTTGTTCCCCATGGATGGACATTGCCATTTAATGGGTGGGTGGTACCACTGGTTGACAGTGCATAATTATGCAAAAAGGATTGAGTTCTATTTTGTTTTAAAAAAAATAGGCCCCAGAATATGAAAATAGTGTGTCCTTGAATTTGAATGTCAGTGTTTCTCTCCTACTGTGACCCCCACACTGACCTGGATCTGCACACTAGATCAAGTGCAAGCGAAATACAACTGCCAACTAAAATTTTACCCAAAAATCTGTGTTTATATTGTGAACAAATGATGGTAACATATTTCTTTTACACTGAGCCAGCAGCAATTAATCAATTCAAATGGTTAAAAAAAAAAGGGGGGGGGGAGGGAAGAGAAATTAACTTTACTAGAAAAATGGTTAGTTGAGACTGCAATGACTATCATGACATGTGAAGGCACTGAGGGGTGTACTTCCCTTTCACCTATTGTTTTTGTGCCCCTTCTGGTGTTAAAAGAAATGGAGTCCCTGTGGAATCTGAATTTTGTTTGTTAGTTTTTATTGGTAATGTCAGTGATTACAATACACTTTAAATCGGTTTCATGCTCTGTGCCAGGGTGTCCCGACAAGTGGGCGGCAGCGAACATGCCAGGTGGGACGTTGGGACTATATTTCTTTTTGTTTGTTTTTTTTCACACTCACCTAACCATTGGTTTCTGTTCTGCCTTACAAATCTAATCTGTTAATCCCCAATTTCAATGTTAATGGATTAATTTTATTAAAACGTTTTGTATTTCTTTCGGTGGATTCCTCAATTTTGTATCTCAAACAACAAATATTTCTTTTAAATGATCTGCTTTGCCTTTTTACCCCACACAGAGCATAGGTCATCAATAATCTATCATTTATTCATCAGCAAAAGAGTCTTGTCATGTGCGTCTTTCTCAAGTTGTGGCCAAGTGTTTGTCAGTTTTTCTTATCCCCCCGGGTGGTGCCACTGACTGAAGTGTCTGTACGCCATTCCCAAAGGGGGGATATTTCTCGTTCTTATGCACACTAGAATTATAAATGGGCTGATTCAACAATGTCATGCTCATAACTGTGCCTGAACTACAACAGAGAACTGCTTTTTCTTTCCTAATCCTTACTATCGTCATTTTCCTCTACTTCTTTTGTATGTTTGTCACACTCTTGTGACTACCCATTTCCGGGGTGCCTTGATAGTTGAAGCAGACTTTGTGCTGTTTGAGCGAAAGGTAAGCAGAGTAAGTCAGATTCCCTGTATGGACTTCTCTGTTAACATCCACCCCTTGGCGCTCATCTGACCTTATGCAGTTGCGAGCGCAGTAAAACCTCTACTAAAACTAAAAAAACTAAAGTTTTTCTTAGCCCCTGCCTCAACCTGTCTGACACATGTTGTCCATGACCTTGCTCTGTTTATCTGACGGAGGGGATTCTACTCTACTTCAGTGCGTTTCTGGTTCTGCTTGACATAAATTTTGTTAATGTGTTCCATTTATCGCTATCTTCAGTTTTCCTCTCCTTTTTTCCTTCTCTGTCTTTTGCACAGAGTATGCCCTTACTTTTTTGTCTTTGTGAGTAAAATGTCGAAAGGTAATTACTCTTTATCAAATATTCTAATTCTGTAATTTCGATGATATTAGATCAAAAGAGTTATGTATTGTCTGTTGTTTTTTATCTGCCAATATTTCTATAAAGCTGCATGTAAATGACTTGTGGTGTAGTGTTGATGTTCTTTATAACTGGCACCAGAGTATCACATGTGATGGAGCTTATTTCTGGTTTCCTCCCAGCAAAAATTCTTGTATTATCTTTTTTTCATCGTCGTCTTCTCTCCCCACATCCCAGTGAAAGTGAAGACGACTGGGAGGCCAACGTGGTGGATGCCGTGCTGGAGAAACTCAAGAACATTGAGCACATCATTCACATCTTCGTAGATGCGGAGTCGCGGGAGGGCTGCGTCTACCTCAAGTGCTCCAGTCTGGAGGCGGCAGGCAAAGCGAGGCTGGCTCTACATGGCTGGTGGTTCGATGGTCAGTCAACATGCTTTGTCTTTGTGCTTTTTTTTTCACTTTCGCTCATCTTCTTTCAAAATAGGACACAAATAAATTGTTCATATCTCTGTATAATGCTTTCATTCATCTGGGTTTTGGTTTGGCTACGTAAGCAGCCAAACTGTACGAACTATGAGCTTGATTCTTTGACACATTTCCTATGCTAAGTGCTAGCAATTTCTCTGTGGAGTGATCTGAGCTACATAAGTGGACAATGTTGGTGTGAGTGCTTGATACGCATTCTGATGTAGTGTACTTCTTTTACTCTCTTCTACGTAACTCTTGTCTGAATCTGTTTAGAGTGAAATGTGACCGTAGTTGTGCTGCACACTGGCTGTAAACCACATTTGAATAATGTAACAAGTGCTGTAAAATGATGTAAAACTTTTGACTCTTTAGTTTACATCCATCCTTTCCCCTCCCCTTCAGGTAGGCGTAGTGGTTAGGCTACCGGACCCATTATTGTGGGTTCAGGGGGTTCGAGTCTCAGCTCTGTCCAATGTTGTGTCCTTGGGAACAGCACTTTACACGAATTTCCTATTTGGCTAGGCCCTTTCTTCGGTCGGATGTCCTGCTTTTTAAATAACAATAGTGTTGGTAGGGGCATTAAACTTATACGCCCCTCGGGGTGGTGCTACTGACTGAAGTGTCAGTAGGCCATTCCCAAAGGTGGGACATTAATATGTTCTCATGCTTAGTAGAGTTGTAAATGGGCTGATTCATCAATGTCATGCTCATAACTGTGCCTGGACTGCATACACGGAACTGCTGCTTTTTCTTTCTTTATCCTTTCTATCGTCATTTCCCTCTACTTCTTTTGTATATTTGTCACTCTCTTGTGGCCCACTATTTCCGGGGTGCTTTGATAGTCGAAGCAGACTTTGTGCTGCTGAAACTAGAGAGAGGTGAGCAGAATAAGCCTGATTCCCTGCTTGGAATTCTCTGTTGGCATCCACCCCTTGGCACTCATATGACCTTATGCAGTTACGAGCGCAGTAGAAACTCTACTAAAACTAAAACTTATACTTATACCATTTTACTTGCTATTTTCCCCTCCCAGGTCGCCTGGTCACCGTTAAGCATCTCAAGCTTGACCACTACCACAAGCGATGGCCGGAGGCTTTGAAAGCCTGCAAGCCCCTGCGACCCTCCACCAATCAAATGCGCTCCCTGTCTCAACCCTACTACCGCTCATCGCTGGAAATGACCTAAGAATGGCTCCGAAGCTGCAGAATGCCCTGTCAGGCTTATCTTATCTTAGGGTACTTTTTGGCCTGCTACAGACGTTTCTGATTTCTTGTTGTGCTGTCAAGCAGTGACAAAAACAAATAAATACTGGATTGTTGATGGGTCTACTGTGGGGGAAAGAAGAGTGTGTCGTACTCTGAGTACTGTGACTGTAATATAAACCGTGAACAGATGAATAATAAGTCTGATGTTTGTCAATGAAAGGATTTTTGTTGCAATACAGAATATTTCCCCCCCTCTTTTCTAAGCATGGTGTTCTCATAAATGGCAAAAAGGGGCTTACATTTTGGCAGCATTTCTACATGGCTCCTGTGAAAGTGTTGAAAAATGTTGCACTGGTAATGGCTGTCATGGGTTTTTGGGGGGTTTGGGGTTGTTTTTTCCCCCCCAGACATTTTTTAAAGTGTAGTAAGCCCATGTAAAACATAACCCTGACTTTGTGATGGTAGTTTTGGATGGGATCTTTTTTTTCTTTTTTTTAGGGCTTCAGTTTTATAAAGGTTTTTTTTTTTTTTTGTAATTTGTTTTTCTTTCATGTTTTTATTTCTTAAGTTGTTCTTAATTCATAATAAAGGATCTGCTTTGGCACCTTGAGAATGTGTCATAAAAGTATTGTCATAGATTATCTTTGTCAAGCTCTTGTCAAGTATGACTGGGCGCACTGTTAGTCTACTAATCATGCTGGCCTGCTGGGCAAGTAACCATGGTTCGTAGTGGCCATCTGGGCTTTCTTGGACCTTGGATGTTCAAGGAGTTTGTGTTCCTGCCTCTCCTTCCCACCTCAAGTTAGTGTTACCGGATGTGGCCATTACATCAGAGGCTCTACTGTAAGCTTACTGTATTGAAAGAAGGCATTTCCACCTGTAACATTACCTTACTGTATTGAAAGAAGGCCGTTCCATTTGTAACATTACCCTACTGTATTGAAAGGAGGTTCTGTTGTAACCTTACTGTGTTCAAAGAAGGAGATTCTACCAGTAACATTACCTTACTGTTTTGAAAGAAGGAGATTCTATCTTTAACATTGCTGAACTGTCTTGAAAGAAACAGGTTCTACCTGTAGCATTACCTTGCTGTATAGAAAGAAGGAGGTTCTGCCTGTAACATTGCCTTACTGTATTGAAAGGAGGTTCTGCTGTGACCTTACTGTGTTCAAAGAAGGAAGTTCTTACTGTAATATTACCTTACTGCTATGAAAGAAGGAAGTTCTTACTGTGACATTACCATACTGTATTGAAAGAAAGGTTCTACCTGTAACATTACCTGGAAGAAAGAGGTTCTACCTATAATGTAACATTACCTTACTGTATTGAGAGAAAGGTTCTACCTGTAACATTACCTTGGAAGAAAGAGGTTCTACCTGTCTAGCAGTACCTTACTGTATTGAAAGAAGGGGTTTCGTACTGTAACATTACTGTACTGTATTGAAAGAAGGATTACATCAACAACAGACTGCAATCTCGTACCAAAGTTTAAGATCCCGCCCATCATGCCGGGCTGGTAAGATCCTGTTGGCCACACGGCAGCTCATGATGAACATAACATGTACTTCGAGCGTGAATGAGAGAATTAGTTCTTTGTTTATAGATCTTGAGGTTGTTTCATTCATCAAAGTTGATGAATCCGGATCTGAAGATGTTAAGGAACTTTTTTTTTCTACATATAATATATAGGCAAGCTGTGGGACAAATTGAAAGGCAAAAATTGCTAGTACATGAGGCAGACATTTTTTTATCTATTTTATTTAAAGCATTGGGAATGTACTTATTTTATGAGGTTCTGTATTCCCCGCTTTCTTTTATAGCTCTTTCTTTTTGTTCCCCTTTTCATGCATTTTGAGGGAAGAATAATGTGTGTGAGTGTTTGGGTATTTATTTCTGTTCTCAACAGTGGATGCTAATCATAATTTCATTGGGGAAAAGATTCTCAGAGACTTACTTCTTCATATGATGTAACGAATGAGTGTGTGTGTGTATGTTGTTTCATGTCAAATGCCAGGGCGAAGTTTTGCATTTTGAATGTCAGGATCCACTAGGTTGGCTTACTCCTTTACTGTGTACAGTGGTTTCTCATGTTTAGCGAAACCCATAAAAGCGAGAACTTTTTTAACAGAGCCTGATTCATAGCACAGTAGTTTTCCCCTAATGTGACCTTTGTGACTATTGATTTTGAGAAGGATGACAAATGTGAGGCAGCATGGTGAAATCGGGCACTGGTCAAAATAACGAAATCAGAGAAACAGGCATTTTTCCGCCAGTTTGGAACCTTTACTTTAATCAAATTTTAAAATTTTTTATTTACCTATTTTATGTCCATATAAAACAATTTTACTTAAAAAAACCATTAATTAAAGGCACAAAATGTATCATTTTTCAGTTTTCAACGATTCTTTAGCTATTGGAGTTACTAAACTTTGGCGACCATTTTCTCGCTAATTTCACCACTGAAACCAGGCGATAGGGCTGGTTCACGAGCGCGAGAGCGGAACTGAATCGTCACTCTTTCCGGCGGAACGCGATTCACGATTCACTTCAGCGGAACGCGATTCACGATTCACTTCAGCGAAACGCGGAACAGTATCGCCAAACGATTCCCGATTCACTCCCCTGTCGCTGTCACCACCTTGTGGCTTGTTTAACCTACTGCTGAGTAGAGTCACGAGCGCAAGAACGGAACGGAACACTTAGTATGGCTCCCCTTTTTTTACAAAAGATGGTATAGTCCAACTCCCCTATTAAAACAAAATGAACGGGGTCCAACCAATAGACAGAAGGAATTTTATGGAGCCATTGTTTTATGGAATGCTGGGGTAGGTGGGGGGGGAATTTATGGGGGTCACTAATTGAGGTCAGTTGATAGAGCAGCGCAACAAAGGGTGTGGGGGGAGAGGATGGCGGAACAGCAAGAGTGGAACTCCCGCTCGCCAAGAGGCGTTGATATGACACTTCCGTTTCAGTCGGTGTTCCGCCACAGCTCCACGAGCGCTCGCGTACTCGCGATTCATTGAAGCCGACTGAATCGCGAATCGCCACTCTCAAATTTGACGAGCAGGATCCAGCCCTACCAGGCGACCTCACTTCCTTCAATCGCAGATGTCTTATTGAGTTCTATTCAAGGTTTAATGAATATTTATTTCATTGGAAGCAAGGCAAATAAATCAGCTTTCACATGATACCAATAACTCCCCATGCTCAAAAATTGATGAGTGCCTGATTTCACTGTGTCGCGACACAAAGTTTGTTTTAGCATAGCAAGAGGATTCAAGGATAAATGTGACTCTATGGCAGGCTGAGTCTCAGCGCTAGTTCACAGCTTGTGGTTTTGTCTCTATAGCGGAACACACTTTGATGGTTTTACTAGAGCACAAGTGTCGGATTCAAGGCCTGCGGGCCACATCTGGTTCGGCGAACAACAGTATCTGGTTCGTGAGAGGTGTTTAGGTTGTCCATCCTAGTCTGTGTCTTATTTCTGCGGCTGTAGTAAATCAGGTGTGTTCTAACTTTTGTTGTACCTACTGAGATTTGAGGGTTTATGAGAGTCACGCCAATCCATTCTTTTGTACCTTTGTGGTTAATATTATTTAGAATAAAGTCTCTCACTAGGATCCAAAGAGGAGAGGGGAAACACAGCCATCTGTGCGGACCAGTCCGACGGATCTCCAACCAGATCATGATGGAGACTATAAGTAAACAGACTCTGGGATGGATCCTGAAGAGGGGGGGAGAGCAGAGATAGACATGTTCTGACTGCAGTGACCCCAACACAGTGGGCAAGTAACAAGTGTCGGACTCAAGGCCTGCGGGCCACATCTGGTTCGGCGAACAACAGTATCTGGTTCGCGAGAGGTGTTTAGGTTGTCCATCCTCATCATCATTGCCTTTCTCACCCTGCACCAGGGTATAGGCCACGGACAAACACCCTCCACTCCTCTCTATCCTGGGCTAGCCTCTTGATGTTATTCCATGTGAGAGGTGTTTATGTAGTCCTTCCTAGTCTGTGTCTTATTTCAGCGGCTGTAGTAAATCAGGTGTGTTGCACTGAGATTTGAGGATTTATGAGAGTCATGCCAATCCATTCAATTCTTTTGTCCTTTTGTGGTAATATTATTTAGAATAAAGTCTCTCACTAGTTGGACTTTTACTGTTGTTGATTTCCCAGAAGTGGGTGTTTTAAGGGTAGGATCTGCTTTTGTTTTGGCTCATCATATTCATATTGAGTGGGAACTTTGAAGGGGGAAAAATATTCCTGTCAGCCTGTTGATCAGCTACTTTTATTTACCACTTAATGCTCTTCCTTGCAAAGAGGTTATGTACTTTTGTCTGCACTGTTATGTAGAGGAATTGTTTTCTCACAAGTATGCATCCCCCCCGCCTTTGTTTCATTTTTTTTTCTTTGGGAATCAATTGCAGTTGTTAGCTATCTGAGTTGTTTCCCCTCCCCACATCTTTTCATTCACTGTTAACTCCCTTGTCACCTGTGGAAACAGCAGGAGAGAATTAATTGGGTGAAATAGGTTGAAATACGCAAGCTCTCAAAAGTGAGTCTAAAACAGCAAGGACATTTCTCAAGATGAATATTAATCTACTGCTTCAAGCTGGACAGAATGCTATTGATGATTTTGATTTTTGAAGATGAATTGTTCTGTTTGTTATGAAATTACCAACTCACCATGGGCCACATTCACAGTTAAATATTAGTGAACTCTTGGCCCAGACTGAGACTCCTTATGGGCTGGATCTGGGCCGTAGTTGTCCCATGCCTGGTGTACTAGTTTACAGTGTACGCATGCAATTAATTTCTTTTGATTTGATCAATCGTTAATGATTGTTTGGTAGGTTTTGTTTATCTGTGGAACAGTCTGTTGGGTTTACCCGATACCTGTGTTCCGTCACATGGAATCATTGGTTATGCCCTCAAGATTTTATTAACCCTATCTATACTCCCTGGGGTCATTTTGTACCCCCGGGGTTGTATTCTTCACATTTTAGAATACTTCTAGTACGAAGATCTCTTTGTAACTTTCAGTTGTTCTCAAAAAATCGTTTTGACTGACTGCTGTGCAAAGCGTATGGGTCGGATTAACGAGCAAATTTCCTCTTTTGAAAGTGGTGGCACAGAGTTCCCCACATCGTATGGATACAATAGTAAAACACGATGTACGGATAGGGTTAAGCTGTAAATAGTGTACACCCCAAAGGAGTTTGGATTTGACGAGAGATATGTTCTTGTCGGGGTTAGAACGAGGCACCATTTGTGAGCATGCACTGATGTTTTTTTCCCGTCACTAATGATTATCATCTGTGTAGCTAAGCAGTGAGCTTGCTGACAAAGATCTTTGTTTTGACACCTTTCTCAATAGAACAGCCCTATCATTCCTTTTGCTCTGCCTGTTGTTTAAGTTGGCCCTTTTGATTTGAAATTATAATTTTTACTGTGGTTTTTACATAGTAAAGAAGAAGGGGAAAATTATGAGAATTGGCAGTCTTGGTTCGCACTTGTTGGGTAACAATCTGGGGTCACCCTTTGTTGAAATTCAGCTTTGTTGTTATTTTGATTGACAAACCTCGTGCGCAGTTTGGGGTTCGTCGAACGCGAAGCCAATTGTGTTC